ACTCGACAATAAAGAGCAAATAATGTTTTCTTCACTAGTACATGACAGGTATCGTTCTTAGAATTTTCATTTTTATGTTTTTGTCAGTAAATATAAACAGTCTAACTCAACATGCTAGCAAAAGCATCCATGCATAACTGAATGGGCACACGACAGTGCCCATGCTGTATAATTAAAATGATGAGTACAAATGTTACTGCCACAAAACAAAAATGTCTTCCACTTGCTCTAAGCAAGGGAAATCCTTGTCAAGTTTTGTCAATGGAGAATGACAGTGTTTCTAACTGAGTGTAGATTTTCCACCTCATAAAGCATTAGAAAACACAAAGGAAATAGAGTACAGACCGAGTCATTGCACTTTCTGAATCATAAGAAGGCTACTGGTCAAAGCTTTCCTGATCAATGTCCTTCAGTTATAAAATAGTCAGTATAGGTCCCGCTTTCAGCCATGTCTATCAAGCTATAGTTGCAGTTGGGAAGTTTGGAGAGCATGCAAGAAGTTAGATTGGCTCTTCTCTATGCCTAGTATATCAGGGATAACTCATAGTAATGAAATTAATGTCCCTGGTGTTCTGCAAAACCCCTGCTTCCATCCATAACCTGACAGATGTACACCTCACAAAGACCAGTTGATTGATTTTATTATTCATAATTTGACTCTGTGACAATCTGAACCAATTGACTCCTGGAGCTTTTTGCCAAAAATGCATTTTTTGTACATTTTGGACTGGAGTCAAATTAGCTGCAATCTACTCAAAAAGGCATTTGCAACAGGACAGTATGCATGCACAGAAATCAAAATTTTGAAGCATTTGAACCAGAAAGTGACCTGCATCTTGACGCTTTTCATTTTTCTTCTTTTTTTTGCCTTTCCTTTTCTTCTTTTCTTGTCTTTTTGCCACAGCGATTGACTTTCAACTGGGCTTGCTGAACCAGTTCAAGAATTTCCAAGAAAGCATCATCCAGACAGGCAATTCTTACCACAGAGTAGCCGATTGTAGTTGAGAATAATTTTGCTTTGAGCCTTTCAATCAAATTTCTGAGCATTTTCGTGCTTTTTTCTGGCTCCATTGACCCAATCACTCTTATTTGGGTATCACTGGATAGATCGCTTCCTCCAGCAGAACTTGAGTAATTACATGTATAAGTGATGCTAATTTTGGTCAAATGTGATGACATCAGAATTAAGTGGAACAAAGGCCAATGCTCGTCATGGCCTGTTAAGGCTGGCACGGGCGACATTGCAATTAAAGAATCAATTCCTCCTCCCTGGTAGATCCATTGCATTAGTTTCTTTTCAAATAAGAACATTTCACTCTCTTTTTAGCTTACACCTTTTTTGCAGTTAGCAACTGTAAGTGTAAAGCACTTGGCAGAGAACAGCCACATCAGAGATTTTACAGACGTGTTTTTAACGTCACCTTCATATTTCTGTAAATTACCTTCGTCATAGGGAGACTTATTCACTAAGTCTGGTTCATTTTCTAAGTTGCTGTTAATTTCACTAATTTCCCCTGAGACTGGGGAGTAGATATCCGCTGCAGCCTTCACGCTTTCCAAAGCGCCAAATTCCACTGTGAAAAAATTTATGGACACAATGCAACAAGTTTCATAACACAAATTCCACACATGTTTTTGAAATAATCAAAGAATGTTAGGGTTAGTACAGACAGTAACAGAAACAGCACAAAAATTGAATGGTTAAATTATTATGATTGTGACAGGGTGGGTGCATTAGTAGAGTCTGCCTTAATGAGTTTTCGTAGCGAAATTCCCATACAGACTACTGGAGAACACAGCATGACCTGATTGCCAACTACCCTACATGTAAGTCTGTGAAAAATCACTTGTCCTATAAAATGATTAAGAACAAGAGAAACAGGTTAACGGGCATTTTGTGTCATTGAAGCATTTTCTGTTAGAAAAGCAAGTGTGTCCAGTGGTTTCAGCAATGCAAGTAGTATTGACAAAATTATCAAAATGGATAAGTAGTCAGGGCCCGCCCAGTATTTGAATGAGACCCCAGCTACTCTAGTTCCACATTCATGAAGATGACAGTCAAGCAATATGCAACTTAAATGTCCCCAGATACAATGTAGGCTACATGACCAACAAGTACTTGTAACTTAACTGAGACCTCAGCCTCTTGTTTTGTCAAGTCACAGAGACTTTCTAATAGGTTTCTTACCTCCTTCTGTCACTGTCTCGCCCACATCAGGAAGCTGAACATATACAATATCTCCTAATTTACTCTTGAAAGAAACAACAAAATAAAGAATGTGAACGTTTACAGTTAAAATACACTCTACACCACTTAAATCTCATGGTGGAATCTACATTGTGCAGCAAATATTGAAGATGAGACTTACCTGAGCATAATCTGTAACTCCTACTGTACCAATTCCATTCTCCACACTTATCCACTCATGCTTTTTTGTATATTTCCTCTCTAAAATTTAAATGCAAGAAAATTATCCCACTGTGAGTACCTGTATGTGACTGATGAATGCACACGATTCCTGGTGAAACTAAGTGAAAGAAATTAAATTATACTGAACTTGAATTGAATCAAACTCAATTCAGGATTGAATTCAACTGAAAATTAACAACACTCCTTCTCCCATTCCAGTGATGGAAAAAATGGTATGTTTTGATTCTAACAATTTTTTTATTCATAATACATTTGGGACGGGACGGGGGGTGGGGGGTGGTTTTATCTCTTCAAATTCTCAACAAGATTGCAATTACTTACAGTGTGAACAACCGACTCTGTCAAATCAGCCATAATCAGTGGGAGCAAACATACCAAAGGGTTTCCCATTGTTTCAGAGAGATACAACAAGTAGTCTGGAGATTATATTTGTTTCCAGGCTACTACATAAATTATCCTCGAGAGTTGGTAGGTTTTTTTCATGCTTTTTCCCCACTGCTGGTCACATGGTTTGCAGCTGTTGAAAATGGCTACAAATACCAAAATATGGTGTGATATAGGCAAAGCACACATCTTCAGAAACGACTGATGTGAGCTCAGCTGTGATTGGTCTGATGACATTTGCAGTTGACTGTTTGCACAAGTACCAGTAATTGAAAACCACAGGATATAAATTTGATTCACTTCATCATAACGTCTGAATAAACATTTGGGTGTTTGAAGAAAAAAAATCAATAGCTGAGGACATTTCACGCAGGCCCGGGGAATATTCGATGCCGCAAGACTGGTCGGTTCTCGAAAAAGCCCGGTTCTCAAGATAAGAACTACATGTAATGTTACGCTTAAAAGTGTCTGCCTGCTAAGGTTTTAAGACAGTTTTATTTCTAGAGGAGAAACTTCTTTAATAGAAGAGCCCTAACCACCTTACTTATTGGGAGTTGCGCAATACGATTGACTACAAAATGCAGACCATATAGCCCCGATCGAAGCTTCCACGTTGACCAGGTATAAATTTTGCGCAATATCGAATACCAAAGCACGAGCTGGAATACGATTTACATGACTTTACCTGCTAAAAGCTGCCTTGTCACGTGTAGAAACCGCTTACTCTCAAAGTTGGTGATGCATATCGCTGCTCTTTTTGAGGATAAATTATAAAAAAGGGGCAGAATTGCTGAAGTTTTCCTCAGAAAACCCGCCATGCTTCCTCCCTCACTATTCACGAGGCTCCCAGTCGCTCGAGTAGCATTGGGCTCCATTCTCGTCCCCAGTGCTACTCGTCTCATTGGGCTTTATAAAGAGCCCGTCTGCGCATGACCACACGTGCGTCAAACGCTAATGGCGGCTTTCTCCTGAGCTTCAATGTTGTTTGTTTCTTCTGGAGTATTTTTGCAGGATCGAAAGCCTTTGAAGTACATACTTTGGGACATTCTTACAAGGAATCTCCTCTAAAAGGTGTTGGTGTATCCATTTTGAAACTTTGAGCGTGAAATTTTTAGAAAAGTAAGTAAATTAGGGTAGTATTTTCTCTTAGTTACACGAGGAAAGGTCAGATAGAATGATTAAAGTCTTCATATTTTACTTACTGCATTATAGTATTATAGAAGTTACAATAGATACTCTTTCATAAGCGGCATTCCAGTAAAAGCTCGATTTAGTGCGAGAAACGGAAGACCTTTTAGTTACTATGCATCTGCAAAACAGAAGAACAGCAGTACCAGCAAAACAGAAATTCAACTGTCAGATCTATCCAGGTTAAACGAAGTAAGCGTAAGTCTGTTTCCCTTCAATGATTCCCCTATTTTCCATAATTTTCGTTATCATGATCTTCTAAAGTTAAAATGTTTGGTCATTAAAATAGTTAGAGCGGTTTGATATGACTCAGTCTTAGGATACAATGGCCAGGGTGCATTTTAATGCACCTGTGATGCCAAAGAAATGAGAGGGTTTTTAAATTCTAGAAGGTCATCAGCATGCCAACTTAGAACAGTCACTGCCTTGATTTTATACCTGGGTGCATATCAAAGATGTCCATAGCAAATATTTTCTTTATTATTTTAATAGGCCATGTTTGTGTTTCTGGAATTGGACTGGAACTACTGTTAGTAGCTTTGAAATGCAAATTACATTAATCTCTTTGAAATGATACTCCCTCACATGAGCCTCCATTACGAGCTAAATCCAGTTCAACACTGAGAGTATGAGTATGGCCTATTACACCATGTCTCAAAAGAATATTATCTTCAAGAGCATATAGATACATTTATACCATAAACCTCTGCTTATAAGCTCCTCTGGTTATATTACAAGCCTGTCTACCTGTGAACTAAAAGATACATCTGGCTATAAGCCCCCCTCTAGCTTTCGGATTCCTTATTTTGAATTCATTTTATTATGAGGTTTTAAAGCATAGTTACCAGTAAATGAAAAACTTGTTTCGATTAACATGTGCAGCTGTCAGTAGCTCGTTTAGAAGCCCATCTATAAGTCCTTATGAGGTTGTATAAGCCCAGGGCTTATAATTAATGTAAGCGACAGTTTACTATAGGAGAGTTTATCCGAAACAAATTAATCAATTATCTTCACATTACTACTAATGTTGAAGTATTAATTAATACAGTGCATTACATGTGAATGTATACTATTTCGATTTTAATTTCTCCAGGCCACCATGCATTTGTACGCATTAACTCTTCAGAAGGCGTCTACTATCAATCATGCAATTCACGGCAATTTCTCTGGCTCCAAGCAGCAGGAGATTGTAATCTCACGAGGAAAGATCATAGAACTTCTTCGTCCTGACCCAAACACTGGCAAAGTGTTTCCATTGTTAGCCATGGAAATGTTTGGGGTTATCCGAGATCTTATTGCATTTAGACTCACTGGTGGATCAAAGGGTAAGTGCGTATAACTTTCCAAAATCCCATAGCTAATTTATTTGTTTTGGGGAAGTACATGTAGTTTGTAGACTAACTTACATTTTAGACTTTTAAGATGCAAGGATCATATTGCATTTATTTTTCTTGCACATGCAATAGTAACAAAGTGATATAATATTGTTATGTTTACAGATTATGTAGTGGTTGGAAGTGATTCTGGAAGAATTGTCATCCTGGAATACATCCCTTCTAAAAACACTTTTGAGAGGGTGACTAAATCTTTCTTGTTACTAACAGAACAGTATCCACTTTTTACATGTGTGCAATGTACAAATGTATTGGTAATGGTTGAATAGAAGAAGTGCAAGAAGTATATTATTATTAGTATGTTCTGATATATACATATTCTATAATAATTATGTAGTGTTAAATACATGCATGTTGTAATTTTGTTGCATTGCAGAAGCAGGGCTGCAAAAACTAATTGCAACTTGCCTTTTGGACAAACAACTCTCAAATCAAACTACTCTCAAATTGTGCTTGCCCTGCAAGTCTTAAGTTTCCTTTTTTTCTTATTTAGTTGACAGATGACTTGAATTGCCTGGGGTCTTGCCCATTGGGCAAGTGATCATGAAAAGTAACTTGCCTGGCAAGAAAATTTACTTGTCCTGGATGACTGGTTGGCACTTTTTTTGAGCCCTGAGAAGTTATGCTGTATTTTAGATTAAAGATACATGTACATATACATGTAGGCTGTTATTTAAAACATTGGTGACAGAAATGTTTATAATTTATTCACTTCTTCTTCCCTACAGATTCATCAAGAAACGTTTGGTAAAAGTGGCTGTCGGCGTATAGTTCCTGGGCAGTACTTGGCTGTTGATCCTAAAGGACGTGCCATCATGATTGGTATGGTTTATCTCTTCATTTATGCATACTTATTAGATTAACAGTCACTGGCAAGATGTTAGTAAATTACATTGTGTTGTGTCAAATGTGAACTCGGTCTATTTCAGTATCAAAGCTTTTATCTTAATTTTCTACACTTCCTTTTTTGTACTTATAAGAAAAAACCTCCCAGTTAGACTATCCCAAAACATAAACTTCACTTCCAGATTTACATGTAGCAGTCTTTTGTATGGCTAGATTTGGAGAGTTGCATCTTTCAGGGTTGCGACATGTACATGTGCTATTGAATAGCCTAAAATGTGTACACTGTATNATTCATCAAGAAACGTTTGGTAAAAGTGGCTGTCGGCGTATAGTTCCTGGGCAGTACTTGGCTGTTGATCCTAAAGGACGTGCCATCATGATTGGTATGGTTTATCTCTTCATTTATGCAAACATGTAGATTAACAGTCACTGGCAAGATGTTAGTAAATTACATAAGTGTTGTCGTCAAATGTTAACTCAGTCTATTTCAGTATCAAAGCTTTAATTTTATCTTAATTGTTTACACTTCCTTTTTTGTGCTTATAAAAAAACTCCCAGTCAGACTATCCCAAAACATAAACTTCACTTTCAGATTTACATGTAGCAGTCTTTCATTTGGCTAGTTTGGAGAGTTGCATCTTTCAGGGTTGCAACATGTACATGTGCTATTGAATAGCCTAAAATGTGTACACTGTATACTATATTTAAGTTGATCCATCTAATAAAAATTAAATGTTTTGAATAAAACTTCCTGCAAATGGTCTTTCTTCGTTGTTTTTTTTTAAATACAAATGTACAACAAAATGGAGAGTAATTCATTACCAAGCATGTACTTTGGAATAATTATTTATTTATCAATAAATAACTAATTGAATAAAACATCAGGCTCCTACTCTTTCCTTCTGTTATTTTTACTTTTTATCAATGATTGAAAGTTGTGTTTGAAAAAAAGACATGTTATGTACATGTGTGAGATCGCTAGTTTTAGAATTCTATTACCTTCAAATGGCTCCTGCATTGGGAATCTACATGTAGTATAACAATAATTACATTTTAGCACTGGTTTATCTTGAAAGATTGCTATTTTAAGGGGCTTTTTGCTTTTGGAAATTAATGTACTTGGACAGTGTGCATACATGCTCAGGATGATATCGTATGTTTAAAATCCTTATCTACCTCTGTTGCTTAAAATGTCTTTTCATAGGTGCTGTGGAAAAACAGAAGTTAGTTTATATTCTGAACCGAGATGCTGCAGCTCGCCTGACAATTTCATCTCCACTTGAAGCGCACAAGTCTCACACTTTGGTGTATCACACTGTTGGTGTTGATGTTGGTTTTGAAAATCCAATGTTTGCTTGCTTGGAGATGGATTATGAGGTACTGAAATTATATTTTAAATTTATTTAGCATTCTGTGTGTTGTTATTGAATACAGTAATCTTGAGATTGTTGTTAACCTTTTGTACACCAGGCCAATGCTATTTCAATCTTGCATGTACATTTACATCGGGGAGTCAGTTTAATTTTTTAATACCAAAATCTCAGCAGTTCTTAACAAACTGTTCAAACCCGCTAATTCCCACTAACCCCTGGAATAATATGATCGAAAGTTCAAAAATATCAAACTCCTGGTTATAATTATTACAAATGCCTAGCTGATGAAGATATGGTACAATCAAGTCACAGACCAGTTGGTGTTTTACTTCGACTCATTTTCATTGTTTTTAAAAGAATCACAGTTGAGCCTGTAACAGAGCTTTTGTACAAATTTTGATGTGACAAATTGCAAATATGCATGAAGTACAGTTTAAAACATATAGGAACTGAACTTTATTTCTTTAATTGAGCATCCATTTGCAGCTCTTTCACACTCCATGTGAACTCATCAACCTAAACAGCCAACCATGCAGAGCCATTTTGTCACTGTGTTGTGGGAACCATGTAGTTACAATTATTTGTTTACCTCTAGACGTCTCAAAGGCTATATGGAAGAAGTTAAGCTAGTAGTATTGACAGTTTGTTTCTGTATAAAACATTAACTGTCATTTCTTGTAGGATGCTGATAATGATCCAACTGGAGAGGCTGTCCACACAACTCAACAAACCCTTACATTCTATGAGTTAGATCTGGGCTTAAACCACGTGGTGCGTAAATACAGTGAACCCCTTGAAGAACATGGAAACTTTCTCATTCCTGTTCCAGGAGGAAATGATGGGCCAAGTGGAGTGCTGGTCTGCTCTGAAAACTACATCACGTACAAAAATTTTGGTGATCAGGCAGATATCCGCATGCCTATTCCACGGCGAAAGGTTTGTACGTGCAAATCCTACATGTAGGACTGGTTAAAATGTTGTGCTGTCCTTGCCAAATTGTTCTGTTGAACTCAATTGATCAATAAAAAGTTTGACCTCAGGATGACTACAGGCACATGTATAGCTCATAGTTTTAATCAAGGTGAATCAATGCCTGGCCAAAGTCAGGTAGCATGACAAGCTCAGTCAACTGAGTTCAACATGAGCAGTGGTTTCATTAACATTTTCAGCAGGATGGCAACTGGTTTTCACAGGTGGGCAAAACTAACAGAACTGAACTTCTTTGTAAGAACAACTTTCCACTAGATGGCCAAACCAGGCAGGCAAAATTGTCTTCACAGCTGGTCAATTTTCCTCTTGCCCGGCATGAGTATAGCATGGTGTTTCAATTAACTATGGACTTACAGTCATACTAAAGTCAAACTTTAAATACAGTTGAGTTCAACAGGACAATTAGCGTGATGTTTGAATCAACTATCGAACTGTACGTGTAGTCGCCCTCAATTATAACCTCTGTCAATACAATTAAGTTTGACATGATAATAACGCAACATTTGAACTGGGCCTTAGAGTTTGTTTACTTATTCATGATCCTTAAAAATTAATAATTTTGGACGCTTGCATTTCTTGGTTTTGATATTTACTATTACATGAACATTTGTACATGTATCAAAAAGAACCACTGAGGTTGCGATTGGGGCAAATGTTCTCGTAGTGGATTGTGGGAGGGGGGAGGGGGGAGGGGTCCCCACCAGGACTGCCAAGCATTGAACTGCTAAATGAACAGCAAAGACAAAGCAACACAATCTAGTAATATTTTCAGCTCAGCATTTCTCCTGGGTTGAAACACTTAATTGAAAATACATGTATATGCAAATGTCCAATAATTTACATGTAATGTAAAAGGTCAGTAGATGTAAAGGGTTACATTCTATTGCATTATTTTTCTGAAATGGTTTGATGTCATTGTTTGGCATTAGAGCATTTCAAGAAACAAAAATACAAAAAGCGATTGAGAGTAACCCTTTTGGTCTTGCTTATAAATATGTATATGTACAAAACACTATATTTGATATTTCAGTATGATCTTGATGACCCAGAACGAGGAATGATATTTGTTTGCAGTGCTACTCACAAGACAAAGGTACATTTAAAAAAATAATAAAATTTTGTGGTATCATCAACCCAACATTATATAACTGTACATGTATGTGGTATGTAACTGCATATTTGAATCTTGATAAGCTCTCCAACCCGCAAAATCTTGTTCCATTTTCTGATAGCATACATACGTGTAAGTTCACCAGTCCAGATGTTAATTAATATCCACAAGATAGACATATTTCCACTTCTTGTTAATTTCTCTGCCTACATGTAGGTACATGTAAGGCTGTCGTTAAGTTTTGATTCACCAGTAGCCTTGATCTTCCCACCCGTAACAAACTTGTTACTTTATGGGTGAATTGTATCAACAACTGGCAAGTTTACCCATAACATCAAGGGGCCCATCATTCATGCTCAGCTATAACAGGTGCTATGGGTTACGGCCCTTATTGACCTCCCTAATTGTTAAGCTGCATTTATTTAAGCCAAAAACAAATACCTTGGAACGTCATTTTTAAGCCACTAATAAATTAAAGCTCAAAATTACTATTGTTCCATCAGGGGTACATACCATTTATTTGTAAAGGTGCATTATATACATGTTCAACAATTACCTGACTGAATAATTTACATATTACATGTTATGCATAATTATGATCATAATGATTTTAAAATGTCTTTGTCTTTCAATTGAGTGATAGCTGTTTTTACTATAATTATGTTAACCACACTGCGTATAAATTTGTAAAAAATAAATGATTAACTGTGTTTAGTGTGCAGTAGCTCTTAAGGGGGCTGACTTTTACTGTTTATCATGATGATATAAATTTAAACTGGTTTTCTTCTCTAGTCCATGTTCTTCTTCTTAGTACAAACGGAACAAGGCGACATTTTTAAAGTTACCATGGAAGTTGATGAAGACATGGTGAGTATGAGAGTGGTTGAATTTATAGCAGTTCTGCAGGTTTCTGATTGCTAGGTAGATTGCAAATACATGTAGGTACATGTACATATGAATGTATTTTTATCACCTGGAGAATATTAAGTGGATTTCATTTCAGGTCCCTGGTTGAATTAAAGAACTCAACCTCGCAAAGATCACAAGTGGCAAAGTGTATCATACAGGATTTAAGCCAGGATTTTGATAGTGGGCATCCAAAATGTGCAATGGGGTCGGCTCAAACGGACAATTTATAAAACAACAGGCAAAAAGTAATTAAACAATTATTTTAAAAGGTGGATGTCCACAGGACGCCTGGACACCCATCTGGCAAAAAGCTAGGCATCATGTACCGTTTATTAAGTATAGTTTTGAAAATCTGAAAATTTTAGTTAACCTTACTGTGAAACTGTTGACAGGTAGCAGGTACATACCTTCAATTGATAACTAAGGCTGATTGTGTTCATCTTGCATGTAGATAAGGTTTAACAGTACACAATGTACATACATGTATCACATGTAATTAGCTTAAATGTGCTTTGTTTACTTCTGCAGGTAACAGAACTGCGCATGAAGTATTTTGACACTGTTCCTGTTGCTGCTGCCATGTGTGTGCTGAAGACAGGTTTCCTCTTCTGTGCCTCGGAATTTGGAAACCAGTAAGTACAGTGTACATTGTATGTCATGTACCTTTGTGTACAACAACTTGTGTTCAACAACTACTAAGTTCTAAGATTCATCCATTAATTTGTCAGATATAAATTACAAAGATAAGTAAGAATAATGTTCTGCATGCAAGTTAATTTAGTAAAAGAATGAACATACATGGTAAGTTCATTAAAAAGGTTTGATCAAGCTTTTAACATATCATAGATATCTTGTCTAGAAAATAACATGTAAGGGTTAACCCTTACAAGGAATTAGGTACATGTGCACCATGGACAATGTACTTGTGGTGACTCTGAAAAGGGACCTTATGTACCCTGTTACATCTAAGATGAGAATGCTTCTATCAGTACTTACACTGTACAATGACACTGCACTTGTAAGCACTGCATTTGTGAGTGACTTGTACTTTGTGGTGTTGATAAATTCCTTTCATTCTTTATTTCAGCTACTTGTATCAGATTGCTCATCTTGGTGATGATGACGATGAGCCAGAGTTCTCCAGTGCAATGGAGCTGGAGGAGGGGACAACTTTCTTCTTTACTCCTAGAGGCCTTAAAAATTTGGTACTTGTGGATGAGATGGAGAGCTTGGCTCCTATAATGTCCTGCCAGGTACTGATTTTCATATTGCATGAGCTATAGTAAGTCCCAGGTAAGTACGGGATAGAGTACTTAGGCTTCTATGGTCTTTAAAGATCACGATCTCTACATGGACATTTGGTCAGCACTCAGGTCAAGGCATCCCACACTGTAATAGCTTAGCCGGGTTTCCCTGGTGTGAATAACAGTTTTCCATTTTTCCATCGATTCTCCTGGGTGAGAAGGGCAACTGTGGGGATAAAATAATGTCCTAATAAACTAGTTGCTTGCAATGTGAATCACTGATCTGTAGTCCAGGGCTTTAAATATCAGACCAATGCATCCTCTGGTATAATACATTGCAGATTTTAGTTTGCCTTCCTATTTCCAGTAGGACAATGTGAATCAGAATTGCTTAAGGTACCATACTTTGTCAAGATTCCCCTATACTGGGATTTTGTTCCCCATGTTAGCATGTCTCAGTGTACTTTGTGCGTCAGGTATCAGGAAAGTCCTTTATGTTAACTTGTAAGCCTTGCAGCAGTTCTTTTGCTGAGTTGTAATTTTTCCCCTTCAGATTGCTGACTTGGCTAATGAAGACACCCCTCAGCTGTTTGCTGCCTGTGGCAGGGGTCCCCGCTCATCCATGAGGGTCTTGAGGCATGGTCTGGAGGTAAGACACGAACTCAAATTAAGATATGTATAGTGTAGGTTTTTTTCACTTTTCAAATGCTATGAAACAGACCTCTCAACCTTTAATAGTTTGTTTATGACAAAGTTATGCTCGCTTTCAGTGTTACATGCATAGGTGACATCTTTCGACATGCTATGTAACCCAGCCTACGCAAAAACACAATGGACTTCCCTACGGTCGAATTCAACTTTCAGTCATGAGAGATCCTCAGAATATCAGAGTGTTAAGCAGTCATTCTGTCAGAGATAATCAACTGTTTTGAATGTTTGCATTTTTCGAATACTAAAAGTGGTAGCTGCCCAATACTACTGGAAGTCACTGTTGAGAGCCGATTGACCACACTAAAATCATTTGAATTATTCCGTAAATCGGGAAACACGCACACAATCTTCTTCAGCCATTTGAGGTCAGTAATTATCATTTATTTGTCATTTCTTCCTCAAATAACTGGAAATATTGCCAGTTAAATACGTGCAGTTAAATAATCTTTCAGCCATTTACATACATGTTCGTATGTAGCATGTCGAGAAATGGCAAGTCGAAAGTTGGTCGAAAGATGTCACCTATGCACGTAAGACTGAAAGCCAGTGTGCACATAAAATTGGAGAGTCATACAATTCGTGTTCATGTACATTTGGTATGTTTCTCTATACTTGTGGGTATTTTACAGTATATTTCTAATCCTTTAGGTTTCTGAAATGGCCGTGTCAGAGCTACCAGGTAATCCCAATGCTGTTTGGACCGTGAAAACACATTCACAAGGTATGTTTTTGTGAAGAAATAAGCAGGACAAATTTTACCAATGACTGGAAACTGGGAACTGGAAACTGGAAACTGGAAACATAATTCTGTTACGACTACTGTAATTTGTTGCATAGTTACGTCTCTCAGTCTGATTTCAAACTGCTTTTTTTGAAATTTTTTCTGCACTCTCTTTACAGACGAGTTCGATTCTTATATCGTGGTGTCTTTCATAAACGCCACTCTGGTTTTGTCCATTGGTGAAACAGTTGAAGAAGTCACTGATAGTGGTTTCCTCGGCACCACTCCCACACTGTCCTGTTCACAGCTAGGAGAGGAGGCTCTGCTACAGGTACAATGCACACTGTACTTATGGAATTCACAACAGCTATCAACGCATAGAAATGATATCATAAGAATCAAATTTAGATTGGAACCACGAGTGTAGCGAGTACAGAGACACTGCTGCGTTATTGTCATCCACAGCATGATTTTTTGGGGTGCAAGAATGTAGACAACAGAAAATTGTAGTCAACTAAATTACCGGGACATTAATGGTGAGAGCGCATTCAATACGAAATCATGACACGTGAGGTTGTTACAAGAGAAAAAGGTTTTTCGGACAGTTGCGTTGCAGTATAGTTCACAAGTGGACGTCATTTTTCATGGTCAAAACTGCCATGGAGCACAGCTATCGACTAATGAGTGCGGAATAATTATTTCTTCAGATAATATACATTGTAACACATGTCTTGTTATCTGCTTTTAGATGCCTTTGGAGTAAAATAATTAGTTTACAAGACTTTGAACGCACGTGGTACCATTATTTTGACAGGTTTATACAGACGGTATCCGACACATCAGAGCTGACAAGCGTGTGAATGAATGGAAAACACCAGGAAAGAAAACTATTGTGAAATGTGCAGTGAACGAGAGACAGGTGAGTTAGGCAGGGATTGTTGTAACAAGGTGTACAGGAGTGCTCTGTCGTTAGACTCACCTCCAAATGTTAATGATGAGTTTGGGAAAGGTTCTTAAGGGAGGGTGGCGCCAGGCGTGATACGAGCATCGAGCAGAGCACGCAGGTATCCATGACAACCCTGGGAGTGGCAACCCCCCAGTTCCACCGTCACACTTACATATACCAACTCGCATACTTACACTGTACCACAACCAGCTTAGGGAGCGCACTATACACTCAAGACAACAGCACGTCTTTGCATAGCTGGAACAGAAAACACATAAGCTCTGTAAGGCCTGACAAACCCTGTATGAGACCCCAAGGACCTACCTGAAGTGCCGCTTACCGCCATTGGCTAGAGTGTAACTTAGCCTTATTTCTGGTAAATTCATTTTTATTTAACTCTACATGGTCGTCTACATACGTAACTAACTTAAATAGAATTTACTGTGTGCAAAAACGGTCTGTGCGAGCCTTTACCAATTCAGATTATAGAGCACATTCTGCTCCTTTATTCTCCCAATTAGGAATTTTAGACATTTATCAAATCAACACGTTTCAAATAGCTAAATTTATGTACTATTATCATAACAACCTGTTTCCTCCATTGCTTTTCAACTTGTTTTTTACAAACAGTCAAATTCATGGCTATAGCACCAGAACAGCCAATAATTATCGCCTGCATCATTGCCGGACTAATCTAAAAAAATTCACAATTCTTTACCAAGGTCCAAAGATCTGGAATTCCCTTCCTGTTACAATCACTTCATTGTCAAGTTTTCCTGCTAGAGTTTTTAGTAAAATAATTACTGCATTGACAAAGCCGCACACTGTTGCACTATTTATGTAACCGTATTCTTACGTACGAGGTGGCCTCAACTAAAAGCCTGATGGTTTCAAGAGGTCACCTCGCCTCACATTAAAATATTTATAAATACTGTACATTAATTACAGTTAATAAATTACACTTAGTCACATTATAACAACAAAAGTAAAAGAGAAGAACATTGATCAGCAGCAAAAAACCATCGACCTTTGCCCTGACCTAAGCATTGAATTGTCTTGTAAAGGCGGAATTTTTTTTTTCTTAAATGATTGTTTTGCAATAATTCTGTGGTTTATTTACCTTTCAGGTTGTCATTGCATTGACTGGAGGTGAAATTGTCTACTTTGAGATGGACCCGGTAAGTGAAGTAACATTTCAATCATTTATATCAGCGGCAGTGTGCTCCTAACGTTTTACCATAGGCCTTATTTCCTAATTTCTTGTAAGCGTGTTTTGAGGCTCCATGTACTCTATTTTCTGGTGCTAATTTCAGTCCTGTAAATGCCTTAAACTCTACTTGTCGTGAAATACAAGGTTACTTGTTATTGCCTCTGACGAAACCAATAGTAGGATAAAAAATATTGGAACATATTCAGTTTGTAAGGAAAAAATCACAGGAGTGAAGCGATAGAAAGGAAGTGAATGGTTTTCTTTTAATTACTCAGCGTTCACTCTTACTGTTAGCGAAAACAGTACGTTATCTCTCCACGCGTTCCAACATAGCCATTTTTGAAATGTTATTTGTTTCAGTCCGGTCAACTTAACGAGTATACAGAACGAAAAGAAATGTCCTCAGATGTACAGTGCATGGCCCTCGGGACGGTGCCCGCGGGTGAACAACGCTCCAGGTTTCTGGCCATTGGTCTGAGCGACAATACAGTACGGGTCATATCCCTTGACCCGCAGGACTGTCTGCAGCCTCTCAGTATGCAGGCCTTACCCGCAACGCCCGAGTCACTGTGTATCGTGGAGATGGCTATGGGAGGCTTGGAAAGCGAATCTGGGCGACTAGGAGGATTGTTTCTTAACATTGGATTGTCGGTATGTTCTTTTATTGTTTTGCTTGTCTTTAAAGTGTCGAGGTAACTGTGCTGTTGTTATGCTAATGTGATCTTTCTTGTTTTGCAGAATGGCGTGCTTCTTAGAACAGTTTTAGATTTAGTGACTGGAGATCTGTCTGATACCAGAACAAGGTAGGATAATGGTTAACGTATCGTTGTAAAGCAGTTTTGGACTTAAAACAAATTTTTCCGTTTCATAACGTTCCGTTGGTTGTTCTCCCTCTACAAAGCCTGATACATTTTCTTCGCTTGCGCATTCTTCGGACGGGGACTAGAAATTCTTTCTCCAACATAAACGTTAGGGAAGTATTTCATTAGCCAGTTCAAAAACCTACTCCTATTATTACCTAAGTTCGAAAGCTCTGTTAGAAGAGCAAAACCTTTGAAGAGAAACAATTACATTTACACGTGAAGGAGCTTGTACAATGTATGTTGAAGTAAAGGGGGAGATTGAAATGGCTTAACCGACATTTCCAAATTTCATGCATTTGTTTTCTGTGGGGATAAGAATCAACCTACAGCTGTACAGTGTGAGCTCCATTTTACGTAAATTCTGCGTCATTTTGGCTGAGTATATTAAAAGCTCAAATGTAATCGCAAAAGTAAAGCTCAAATGTGATCAGCTGGTCAGGCAAACTAATTCATACACATCGTTTTTGTTGTTATTATTTAGATACCTGGGTTCTAAAGCTGTCAAGTTGTTTAAAGTTCGAATGCACGGATCTGATGCGGTGAGTTTCCCTGCTAACAACGTCGACTTAAGCGCAAAAATTTCAATTTTTCTAAGAGTAAATTGTACTGAATTCCGACTTGGGCTACTAGAGAAAGCGACCTCGAGGACAACGCCTGATAAAAGATTAGTTTATATTTTACCTTCGAATTTCGCAGTTGTCTACATCTGTTCAGAACGTCAGTTGGTCTCATAACTTGCTGAAGCTAAATATGTAATGCCAGCGTTCATTTCTAAATAAATAGACGAAAAATTTGCCGCCGTCGTTCGTTTTCTCCAAAATTTCACGTTGTCATTTTGCAGAGGACTGCAAAGAAATGTACAAAGATTTATAACGCACGTGCACAGCTATTGTTTTGCTCATTAAACCTTTGGTTTGGTGACGTTCTCGTTGCCGTTGCCGTCGTGGTTTACTTAAGCTCTCCACTATAACTCCAATAGGAACATGGGGAAAACGTTTGTACATCGTTATCCCCTTCACGTTTCTGCCGTATATTTAAATGTTGTGCTTGTCGGTCAATGTCAAAATGTTGACCCTTGTCGGTCACTGGGTCACTATTTGTTGTGCTTGATATTTTGGTTGTATTCTGCAGGTTCTTGCCATGTCAAGTCGTTCATGGCTGAGCTACTCGTACCAGTCTCGCTTCCACCTTACTCCACTGTCTTACGAGACGCTGGAATACGCCTCCAGCTTCTCCTCTGAACAGTGTCCTGAAGGAATTGTAGCTATCTCTGCTAACACGCTGAGGTGAGCCTCGTACACGGCGTATAAATAGTAAAGCCTCTTATGCCCAACTGGCTCATAGTTCTTGGTCCTTGTCTCCGGTTTCTGTTGCATGAAGCGGCTAGGAGTATTAATATTTCCCACCTGGATGGGATGCTAGTCCATCGCAGGGTTACTCTCTACTACTCTGTTAGGTTGCCCCAACAATCCGCCGGTACCCATTAACATGGGAGAGAGGCACTGTGAAGGTAAAAGTGTCTTGCCCTAAAACACAACACAGTGATCCGTCCAGGGCTCAAACCCAGACCTCTCGATTCGGATTCAACCGCACTGAAAATTAGCCTACCGCGCCTCCCACAATTCAGCTTATGTACTTTGATGATTAGTATGGAGTGTTCTTCAAATGTTGTTAACCTATGTAGACGGGAACTATAAAGCAGTAGAGGTTGGATGTGTAAATGATGTGATCAATGTGATTGTAAGTGTGTTAACTTGTTTCAAAAGCTCAAAACATACCTCGTCAACATAGTACTTGTTTAACTTTGTAGAACAGTGCTTAACAAATGACCGCCGCCCTCCCCCCTCCCCCCCCCCC